TTTCAAGATAAAAGATTAATTCAAAAATATAAATTGTATCTCATTTTTATATTTGGTACACACACACACACACACACACATATATACTAATTATGACAACTTAAAAATAAAATTAAAATAAATAATTCCATTTACAACAGTATCAAAATGAAATAAAATATTTGGGGATGAATTTATTGAAAAAAATGAAGACTTATGCATCAGAACCTACAAAAATTCATTGATGAATGTCAAAGAAGACCTGAATAAAATAATCATGTATTGATGGAGAGAAGACTTAATATTATTAAAATGTCAGTATTCCCCAAGTTGATCTACAGAATCAATGCAATCAAAGTCCTACGTGATTTTTGCATAAATTAACAAGCGGATTCTAAATTCATATAGAAATGCATGGGATTCAAAATAGTCAAAACAATCTTGAAAAAAATGAATAAAGTTGGAGGCATCATGTCCAAATTTAAAAGATTAATACAAAGCCAGAATTACCAATACAGGGTTGTACCAACATAAAGAGAAAAATAAACTAAGAAATAGAATCTAAAGTCCCAGGAATAAACCTACACTCGGTCAATTGATTTATCTAAAACCTGGCCAGACATTCCAATGGAGAAAGAATAGTTATTTCAACAAACGGGGATCCAGATGGACATCCACATGCAAAGAATGAAGTTTGACTCTACCCCACACCATATACAAAAATGAACTCAAATGGATGAAAAAAGTAAGACTAAAGCCATAACTTCACTAGGAGGACATACAGGTCTAAATTTTTATTATGGTGGATTGGTAAGTGGTTTCTTAGATGACACTTGAACTTATACTTAAAGCACTTAAATGATTACCTAAAGCGTTCGTACTAATGCTTCTTTCTCTCTCTTTAGCAAATGCACATATCCTCTGGCAAAATTAAAAAAAAAAGAATCAAGAAACAAAAAACATGAAGAAGGCAAAAAGACAACCCACAAAATAGGAGAAAAAAAATAGGCAAATTCCCAATTTTGTACAGGTATAGTATCTAGAATATATAAAGAACACTTTCAGCTTAACACCCAAAATACGAATAACCCAATTAAAATGTGCAAAGATTTGCGTAAATGCTTCTCCAAAGAGTATAGAAAAATGACCAAATAAGAAAAGATACTCAGCATCACTGATCATTAGGGAAACTCAAATCAAAAGTATTTTATACATGCTAGGATGGCTATAATAAAAAAGACAGAAAATAATAATGGTTGATGAGAATATGGAGAAACTGGAACCCACATACATTGCTGATGGGAATATAAAATAATGTAGCCACTTTAGAGAAATCTGTCAATTCCTTATATGACTTAGAAATTCCATTCTTAGGCATTTACCTAAGAGAATTGAAAAAAGTGTACGTACAAACAAAATTCACACAAATAATTATAGCAGCATTATTCATGATAACCAAAAAGTGGTAACAACCCAAATATCCATCTACTTGTGAATGAATAAACAAAATCTAATTCGTTCAGCCATGAAATGGAAAGAAGTACTGATACATGCTACAACATGTCTGAACCTTGAAAACATTACGCTAAGTGAAAGAAACGAGACACAAGAGACACAGGTGTTGTATGATTCCAGATACAGATGCTGTATGATTCCACTTATTTGAAATGTCTGCAACAGCTAAATCTATTGGGCTGTTGAAAAGTCATACCATATTTTAACATAAGAAAATATTTTTTAAAAAGTCGTGACTTTTCTGACAACACGGTAGATAGATAGAAAGCAGATTAGTAGTTACTGGGTGAAGGTGGGTGACTGCTGATGCACATAGGGTTTTAGTGAATATAATAAAAGCCACTGAATTGTACACTGTAAGAGAGTGAATTTTATAACATATGAATTATATATTTTTTACAAAGACCACATGGGGCTAGGCTTGTGATAATTTCCTAATTATCCCAAGAATGGTGATTAAGGTGGCTAGATTCCACATGGTCACCTACAAGATTTGAGTCCTGGATCTGATGGTTTGAGAAACATACTGGGTGCATGTGCCCAGAATTCTGAAAGGAGGGAGAAATGGAGGAAGAGGAATTGAGGCATGACCATTTCCCATGATGGGGGGTGCTTTCTCTCTTCCCCTCACTCTCTCCAGTGGTGCATGTATCTGCTGGAAAAACTTTTTAAAAAATTAAAATACAGGAAACCAGCAGTTAGCATAATGGCTATGTCGCTGGACTCCCACGTAGGCGACCGCAGTTCACATCCCGGACCCGGTGACTTAAAACTCACGCTGGGCGCATGTATGTGCGTGCCCAAGATCCCGAGAGGAGAATGGAGAAGGGATTGGGGAGTGGTCATCTCCTCTGGGGGGTGATTTCTTGCTTTCTGTCTCTCTGTCTCTCCCTGTCTGTCTGGCAATAGCACGCGCCCTATAGCGAAAACCTCTCAAAAAAATTTAAAATACATTACTAACTTATATCATGGTGATTATTTGTTGATTTTGGGGCACTGTTGTGTACTTTATACTTTCATTTGTGCACACCCCACACTGAAGCATCTATTTCTGTCATTAGCCCCATTTATTAACTCTAGACAATTGCGTGTTCCTGGGTTCCCTTGGGTGTCAAGGTACCCCAGCCCAGTTGCTCCTTGAGTCGTTACTCCTCTTGTCTTACAGCACCATACCCCCCATAGTCTCCACTACAGAATACAGAGATAAAATTAGGGTGGGCCTCTTTCTGGATTGTGTCTGTCCATAAATGCCAGAAAGTCTTCTGGGCCTCTTCCTGATTTCTGAAGTTTCTTCTGGGGGGAAGGAAAGATTGGGCTGACCCTGGCTGCCCCTCTGTCGTAATCCCCAGGAACTCTGTGGCTAGCTGTGAACTCTCCTCAGAAAGACACCCCCAGGAGGACAGGATGGATGAACAGATCCCTGAGAAGCAGACAATGATGAAAGGGGACTGATTGGCACGACCCCAACCCTCAACTACCCCAGCTAGCCAAACCTATACAGGCCCTAGCCATAGCTTCTAGAAGCCCATCCTTCTTGCTAAAATCTGGAGAGAAGGTGAAGATATCTACATGTTTGTGTATGTATACGCACATACATGTATATATACATAGCTGTACACATACACATTTATATGTATATGTTATATTTTTGAATGTTTCCCCAATTATGAAAATTTCTGAAAGCAGAAAAGCTAAAAAATATAATGCAAACATACAATTTAACAAATATTAACATTTTACTACATTTGTATCTTCCTCTATATATGTTTTTACATACAATCTTTTCCTAAATATTTGAAAGTTAGAAGTCTCATGATACATAAGTTATAAATACTTCACTTTTAATCTCTTAAGAATAAGGGGATGTATTTGTCTACACAGTCATAATACATTTTACACTGAAATAACTATAAATAACTTCATAGTATTATCTGATATCCAGACTAAAGTCACATTTTCCTAATTATCCCAAGAATGTCTTTCACAGGATTCAATTTAGGTTCACATTTGCTTTTGGTTGTTGTGATGTCATTTTCATCTCTTTTTGTCTGGAGAAGTCCACCTCCCTCCCCTGCCCCTTCGTTTTTTCTATGACAATGTCTTTTTTTGAAGAGCCAAAGATAGCTTTCTTGTGGAATACCCCACATTCTGAATTTGTCTAATTATTCCCTCATGGTTGTTGCTTAATTCTTTCCTCCAGCCTTCTAAGTTGAAAGTATGGTTTAGAACCTGATTATGTTTTAATGATTTTAAATGTTATGTTAATATAGGAGCCAGATGGTAGCACAGTGGTAAAACTCCATGTTCTGTGAGTCGGACCGACATGGTCTGGGTTCATGTCCAGAGACCCGTCTGAGTATATGGGGCATGTGTGAGCCCATGATCTGAGGCTGGCTGATGATGGGGTAGATCACCACATCAAGATCCTGTTGGAGGTGCTGTCTTTGTGTCTGTCTTTCTGTATCTCTCACTCATGGGAGAAATAAACACAATTAATACAGATTTATTAAAGAAAATTTGGAAAGTAAGGGAATATTTTATATCATCTTGTCTTTCCACCTCAAAATTATTTTCCTTATTTCCTTGCAGTGCTTTGTGGATTTTCTTTGATCACTTATTCACCCACCCATTAATTCAGTAAATGTTTCTTTTATTGTGAATTCTATCTATTGAATGTTTACCACCCACTAGAAATGGTATGACCTCATTTAGTTGGTTGCACCCAGGATATATGGCACGCATTTTAATTCTTCTTTTTCTGCTATACATTTCATCATAAGGATGGTCTATATTACCACAGTCTGCTTGTATTTGAGATAGTCTGAATTATCCTCAGATAATCCTTTAATGAAAGGATCCCTAGCCCCTGACAGGGTCAGGACAGCTGAACCCGAATCATCTCAGAACTTCAGAGAGAGATTTAAGAATTGCCGGGCTTAGATTCACATTAGCTGTTTCAGAACATTGAAGTGGGGTGTGCAGGGGTCAGTATTTAAAACGAGCTCACCCAGGCAAACCTGAAACTTTACCAGATTCAG